TGACCCTGCCAGATTTGAGTATCTCAGAAAGGAGATTGGAGTTGTGACATCAAAAGTCTTGAATTAAGGAGGTGTATTAGTTTTATAATACAAGACTTTTATAGTTGGCAGTTTTATTCGTTATTACCGTTTTACTGTTATATAAACAGTAGGCAACTCTTTGTAATACAGTTTTTTTCTTCTATTACATTTTTACATATTCTCTGTATCATCTTCTCTGCATTTTTTCATTTCTGCTACCAGTTCTTTGTATCTGTTTCTGTCATCAAAGACCTTCATCCTTCGTATGCTCGGCACAGAAACCACAAAATCCCTTTACCGTCTCTGACCTTTTTTTTTTAAACTACAACATCAGATCAAATCAGAAATTAATCTTTAAAGAATAAATTGGGAGAGAGTGATTCACGTAGACTTAATTTTATTGAGCTTGATATAAGGTTTTTCTTTCGGAATCACAAGAAAATAAGTCTATTCACAGAAAAGAAGTCGAGTACATCGGGTCAGTGCCCATAACAAGTTTGGTGACAGTAAGGAGTGGAGGTGACGGTGCCAGACGTTGCCGCTGACGGTGCCACGATGCACAATGACAGGAACAGTGGTGTTTGGCGTTTCAGGCACGCAGCAACGCAGCTTTGCGAACAATCATGCCCCGCGCAAGATACCACCAGAGCAAGATCGGGACATCGTGCCTGCAACCGAGAATGGAGAATGGAGAAGAAAAAAAGGTTTATGAGTTGAAAAGAAAAAAGGTTTTATTTTTTTCATTTAGTTTTAGTTGATTATTAGGTTTTTTTTTCTTGCGCACCCCTTGTATGATAACCCTCGTCCCCTATGTCTTGTGTTTTATTGGCCTTGTTTGTTTGCCGCTTTTTAACATTCACTGCACACACTCACTTCTAAAATCAAATATTCAAAAACTCATAAAACAAAATATAAAAATAAAAATATAGAAAATATATATAAAAATAAAGAAGTATAAAATCACAAAAAATAGTTTTTGAGCTTCTTGTAATGTATTTTTCCTCAATCATACGAATTAGGTTAAAAATCATAAAAAATACAAAAACATTTCAAAATCACAAAAATAATTTTATTTTCTATTTCTTTGTGTCTAATTTATTGTTCATGTCTAGCTCGTGGTCATGTTATGATGTTATTTTTCTTGAAAATAATCCAAAAATACCAAAAAAATTATAAAATTTCCAAAAAATAAAAAATATCAATCTCTTCCAAATGGCAAAGAAGCTATAACTACATGAATTCTTCATTAAATGTGTAGATACGTAGCAACAAGGTTAATCTTTATTAAATTCACTTCCCAAAAATCCAAAGTAATATTCTAAACAATTTCACAAATTAATTTCTCAAATATCTTTCCAAACTTATTTTCAAAAGAACTATGTACTCTTTAGGAGCAAGGTCAATCCTTGTCGAGCTTTCCAAAAAATTATAAAAATAGTGTGTCTTTCATCTTATTGCATTGTTATTTTTGGGATAATAATCATTTTTGAAAACCACATCAAGTTTACAGATTTGATTAAAGGAATTGCCTTAGAGCAGATCCTATAGGGTGCTAATATCTCCCTACGCGTAACTGACTCCTGAGCTCAAAACTTTGATTTCGTAGATCAAGCTTTATTTTATGATTTTTCCATAGTTTTCCAAAATACTCTATGGTGCTCAAACTCTGATTTGAGAAACATTTATTATTTTTAAAGATTTCGCGGTATCCCTGTCGTGATCCCGGTTGCCACAATAGTCATTTGAAAATTCAGATAATTTAAAACAACTTACAATAATTTTTAAAACACAACAATTTGGATAACTTAAGAGTTGTCTTGAATAGTTTAATTCTCGGTTCATACACATTTATATTATAATCTTGACACTCAAGAATCAAGTATCAAACATTAATAAAGAGTTATCTTCTTAAATACATTTTTCGTCTGGCTTTGACACTTCAAACCCCTCACAAGCAAGTCTTAATTCATATAGTCCAAAGAAATATGTCCTCTGACCTTGACACTTAAGAAACAAGTATCAAACACAAGCCAATATAATTCTTTGTTAGAGACATTTGTCATTTGGCTTCGACCCTTCAAAGACCTTTCACAAAACAACTACACTTAAACATAGTTCATAAAGTTTTCTGCTTAAAGACATTTGTCCTATGACTTTGACACTCTAAGAACTCCATTCTATCAAGCTACCCACCAAGAGGGATCCTTTAAACGCACACACTTAATTAACATGTTCTGATACATTTTTATGAAATAAAAACTAATATATAACCACTTCAATAAATTATTTTACGAAATACTTAAATTTTAATTATTTCCAATCATTTAACCTTAATTTTACATAATTCATGAATATGATGCTTCCAAACTTCCAAACTTAATGAACATGTCAAAACCTTCTTACAATGATTTAAGAAAAATATTTATGCGACTCCACATGTTTCTGAAAGTTTATTGAGGTTATCTCGTGGGCTAAACAGATATGTCATTACATATGGTGGGTACTATATAAACAATATTTATTTTCAGACAAAGGTAGAAGATGACAAAAGTAGAGTTCAAAATAATGACGTTACACTACAAGCTGAAGCTGTGCACTTTGCTAGTTCTAAAGACAAAAATCCAATCACAGCATCCATGAGTTATTTTGGAATAATACAAGAAATATGAGAAGTTGATTATGTCAGCTTTAGAGTTCCAGTTTTCAAGTGTAAATGGGTTGATATAAATTCTGGTGTCATGACAGATGACTTTGGTTTCACATTGGTAGACTTGAACAAGATGAATTACACTGATGAACCATTTATCATGGCTAGTCAAGCAAGACAAATATTCTACGTAAATGATCCAGCGAATAAAAAATGGTCAGTGGTTTTAGAAGGAAAAAACATGCAAGGATATGATGATGAAGATTCTCTTGATATACTTGAGACAACATTTGTTGCATCAAGACCCATTGAAGACTCAGTTGATGACGTTGACGATGACATCCAGACAATTCGTAGTGATCACAATGAAGGGATCTGGGAGAAAAAAATATCTTAATAGGTTGTGATTTTTTTGTGCTGACTTTATATGTAGTTTCATTATATTTGAATTATTACTAACCTTGTATATATTTTTCAGGTATGTCTGCCTCAGACTCAGGATCAGGACAAACCAGACGTGGTCGAGGCGTCACACGATTGCCAGATGTGACATCCGGACGCGTTGATGGGCAGAGAAGACATGTTGACATTGACCCCATATTAGGTCAGGCATCAGGGCCAAATGCTGATAGGTTTAGGAGTTATCTGGGTAAGTTAGCAAAAAGTCATGTCTCTATCCTTCATGCATCTTAGGATGACGTCCCAGAGGTTGACAAAACCCTCTTATGGCAAGATATTCAGGTATGTTTACTTAAAAGAATTTTGATATACTTATTTATTTTATCTTATTATGTCAGTAACATGTTTTTTTGTTTTAAATAGCAATATTATGATATTCCAAACACAATACAGATTAGAAAGAAAGTGTTATCGCATATAGCGATAAGATTGAGGGATTTCAAGACAAGGTTGACATGACTATATGTCTTTGGAGACAGACAACATGAAAATCCATGTCAGCATTATACCTTCACAGAGGAGGAGTGGATACAGATGACTGGAATGAGGTAATGATGCATACCTTGAATACATTACAAATCAAATTCATCTTTAAACATACATGAAACCATAATGAATCTTTCTTCATTTTGCAGCGCTTCAAGAGTACATCCCTATACTAGAGGACACAATTGGGCAAATAAGGTAGGAGTGTACAACTTATCTTCTGCAAAGATGGAGCTAGGATCACTTATATTTCTTGTTGAACATTAGTTTAGTTTAAGTTTATTATTTTTATAGTTTTGGTATTGGATTGTTTTTTACATTAAGTAGAACTTTCTTTATATGAAACACAACACACACACACACACACACACACACATATATATATATATATCTTATAGTATATTGTTCTGGGACAATTTTCTATTTTTCAGGTGTGGTTTTATTGAAAAAATAAATCAATTTAAAAAAAACACCAATAGACATCGGTTAATGTACTGCCCGATGTCTATAGACGTTTGTCAATGCACACACTGGCGTCCAATGAGTTACAGTGAACAAAACCTTTTAGTACATCCGACGTCTCTATAGACGTTGGATATATCTAGTCCGACGTCTATATCGACGTCGTGTATGCCACCTCCGACGTCTACATAAATGTCGGATATACACTACCTGACATCTAATTAACGTCACTCACAAAGACGTTGGATACATATCCGACATTAAAAGGTCAAAATAACATACGTTTAAAGCCCTTTCTGTACTAATAGTTTGTTATCAAAACATGCTTAAAATTGGAAAGGACGACTAACATAATGAGTTAAGGACAATTAAGTGAAACAAGAGGTAAGTATCAATTATTTCAATTAACTTGGTACAAATCACATAAATTTATAACAGATTTAACGATTAATTAAATTAACAAACTTTTTAAATGAATATAACTTAGTAAAAAATATTATCTATAATGCAAACACAAAAAAGGTTTTTTATTATCTATATTTGGTCTTAAAAAATGTAATAATATTTTTAACTCATAATTTTATTATATAATATGAACTATGTTATGAGTTATATATGTGATCGGAGATATGATGTTGGATATTGAAATAATTTCCGCTTTTCATTGTTTGTTTTAATCAGTATATGTTTTGCTTGTTCATAATATATATGTTTTTATATAATATTAAATTTTATTATACATATATAGATATTTTGAATATATAAATTATACTATAATTATATATATTTTAGGTTTACAATATACTCCATACTTTAATCTGCAATGTCCTGCTTTCTTTAAGAGTAGTAATTTTATTTTTATAAGGATCACACATTGAAAAAGCAAGAAACTAATGACACAAAACCATGGTTTTGGACAATGAGATAAAAGTAGTAATTCATTACTCATCATTGTCGAGAACATAAATGACATTATTTTTAGTATTGTTGGTGCAGTTGTTTGACAATGTTTATTTTAACCTAATGTGTTACATTGTGAACTGCCTCAAACAAAAGCGTGCTTCAATTTCCATTTGTATGTAAGTAGAGTTTCACTGGACGATTGTTTCTTGGTTGCACTGGTCTAGCATTCTCAAATGTTTCCTACAATATCAATAAAAAATAATCAAAACTGTATATTAAAAAACTTAATTTTTTATTTTTACAATAATTTGATGATCTATGCATTGTTTGTCTTGATGGTATCAATGAAAAATAATTAATAGACACGATGAATAACTTACATCACCGGCTCCATCAACTGCTGCTCGAATCAACTCTTTTTGCGCCCTTGAGACTGTTTTGCCCTAAAATCAATATTGAAAGACTTATTATTATTATTTTTAATATTTTTCTCGTATCTATATTTTTTACATTTATTTATCTTCCTTTTCCACTCATGCACTTTAAAAAACATGTTCTATATTGAAATTAGAATATTAAGCAATATAGAAAGAGTTAAAGCGAGAATGTACGTATATATTAAAAGGAAGATGAAAATAATAGTCACAATGATAAGTTCATAATTACTATTTATAAATTTATAGATAAGATTCATAATAAAACATATGTTTAAGTTAAGAAAAATAAACTTTTCACTAATATAAAAGTAAATCTATATATTAAATTGTTAATTTGTGTAAAATTTAAACTCCAATCTAGTGAAATTAATGGAGAATAAAAGAACACACACCTCTCCAGTGAAAACAGTCCAAAGAACATTTTCATTGCAAGGAGGAACTGTAAGAGAACCATTATATCTAAAATACTTGTTTCCTGTTATCCCTGCTACATCATCTGGATCAACAACACCTATTGGTATTTCTCTCGTCTGGTTTTCAGCCAGAATCTGTAACTCATCTCCTATCTGTAAATCAAACAAAAAACTGTACGTTCAGCAACAAATTTACCATAGAATTTGTCTAGTCATTCAATTTTCTTTTTGTCAATAATAATGTTTCGTATGATTAAGCTTTTATTTATATAAATGAATACAAACTTGATTACGTAAAATCGAGTTAAAATTAAAGTTAAATTTCTAACATTTACTACTCTTTATTATAATGATTTTTGGATAACCATTTGTTATTTTTTCCAAACAAACGCATGCATGCTGAGAGTAACATCTGTGAATCATACACCATCATAAACAGAGACAAGAGCAACAAAAATCTCCTGTGTTTACCGTTGCAATGAAGCTATCTGGATTCCCATGCTTCGATACAACTCCAGTCACTGCAATATTTCCAGCTAAACTTCTATGCACCATGTGTAACTCTAGATCATACCTACAGTTTGAGAAATACACGAAAAAAATTTAATTTTAAAATACATGTTCGGTGAGTTATTTTATACATATTAGAACAATGTAATAAATTAAGAAAAAAAAAAGCACCTTATGCCGTTGATTTTGTGTTCAGAGGGAGAGTGCCAATGAGCTTGTAGTAGGTTGTATTGAGTTCCGTTAATTGTAATATACCCTGCATTCTCAGTCCAGTTTATCTGTATTTTACATGTAAACAAAAACGAAAGACTTGTTAATTAATCAAATCAATAATGGTTATGATTATGGTAAGTTTACTCTTTTAAGTTTGTGGCTTTGTTTTAACTGGATAACATATAATTGATAGATGACATATATCTTGAGCTTCTTCGTAAGTGTTATCATACAATCATTATGGACACTATTAATTAATATTATAAGGAATCAAAGTTAGTATGGATGGTTTTTTTCTTTTTTTCATACATATATTGCAGAACTTTCACCTTACATATAAATAAAAGATATTAAATAATTACATACTTCTTAATCATTAATAACACTAACTATTAAGAAATTAAAACAAAATGAATTCGACAATAAAATTGGTGAGTCGAGACTTCTTACCTTCTATTAAGATCTGCCACTAGTTATATTATGAAACATGTTCATTTTGAAACAAGCTCTTAAATGGAGATGACCATGTATGTGGGTTCTCCCATCTTAATTTATGAATAAAATTAACTGTTTTGAAATTATTAAAGATAAGAATATTTTTTTCATTTATTTCGAACAAATTTATGTGAAGAGGACTAATAAAAAAACTTAACACTATCAACAGGATCATGTAACACGTAATACTGTTTCGTAATTAAAAACAGGACAAATTGCTTTTTAAGGAAAAAAAAAAACAAGCATATTACATATCCTTTATTTATAAAAATTAAAAACAGTTAAATTTTTAAAGCAACCCAAACCACATACATATGACCTCATTAAAGCGAATAATTAATGTAAAATAAAATAGAATGTCAAAATTAAAAGTAAGTCATTCAACTAAATAGATCCTACTATCGCGTTATATATATATATAAAAGAATGAAAAAAAAGTTAATTTTACTTTACATATTTAAATGTTTTGAAGCATTATAAACATATCATACATATGTTTCAAAGTGAAAAATACTATCTTTTTCATAAGTGAAAACTAATTATAAACTTAATATTACTTGAGAGTTTAGCACACAATTCAATACTTGATACCAGATTCAGGGATTAAAGTATATATTAACCTCTTAAACTAAATACCGAATTGTTTTAGCCAATCTATACCAAGTTCTCAAAAAGAAGTTATTCCTAAAATTTCATAAAAACTTTAAACCAGGAAACCTATATTTACATGTTCATATTCTTACTCATCCTCTATAAGAATTGTCTTATCCATATAGTTTGTCTGGTAAGGATAACTCTACTTACATAATACAAATTAGGTTTAACTAAAAAAATGTAATGAATGGAATAGTTTTAATCTAGAAATTTTAGAAATTTAGTTGGATTGCTCACCATTACGTCATGTTCGGAAGTAACAAGAGTGGCGTTGGCAGGTTGATAGTTCCTTTGAATCCCAGAACCGAGGACAACATTCGCCGTGAATAGGTTAATAGGAGATTGTCTGGTTCCATCTCTACACAAAGGCCACGTATTTCCCCAGTTAGAGGGGCCATTTGGACTTGAAGGATCATAGTCAAACTCCTCTGCATTTTTCAAAATAACATATTTCAACTCTATTTTCTACACAAATGAATTATTCGCATGCTTAAAATATTGTTATCGAAATAAAAATTATCCGGCCTTTCACTTTTTTCTACGTAAAATGTTTTCAAAATAATAGGTTTTCGAAAAATAATCTCCACATAGATATACACTCAATATGCTTAAGAAATAAAGCTTATGGTTAACATATTTCTCACCAGACATTGCTGAGGGGAAGAGTAAAACAATGAGAATGAATAAGCTGTGAGCAAAGGCTTGGATAGACATGGCACGATCCATTTTTCGTAATTGTAATTTGTATGGAGGGAGTTGTGAGGAATATTGTGAAGTATGTTTCCTTTTATAGAGGTTATCTCTTTTGGAAAGTCTAATTAATTAAGTCAAAACAATATTGGATATCGACATGTCCTTTTATTTTCTTTAGTTGACTTCTAAAACTTGGAAGCAGCCTTCTCCAATTAAGAAGTTTTAATTATAGTATGGTTTCAATTCAATATTCATTTAGAGATGTGAAATGTACTAATATTAATAGATTAATAGGTTACACTGGAATAATTACGTGCCTGTGAATTGTTTGAAAATCAATGTAATTTAACGAGAGGTTATACCAAATGTAAGTGGTGTTTTAGAGTATTAAATAGAGTATATGTGTTCTGGTTGATATTTTGAATATATTGTTTATTGAAGCAACTCTCAAGTTAGGCGTCATTTTACATGTTATGAATATTTGGAGAGAGGATTTATTGTATAAATATAAATAAAATATCAGTTTAAATCAAGAGTGATCATTTAGTTGTACCATCATTCACATAACAGGCGCATTTAAGTGATTTTTTATACGAAAAACTTTCAATATACGAACTCATTTACATAGTCCTCAAAACTAACTTTTGGCTTTGATAGTATTTGAGTTTTTTTCAAGAGAAATTCACTCAGAGATATAATATCAATTAAAATCAAGAGTTTGATATCACCTCTAACTCAATAAATCAATGAATTTACTAATTTTTCATATATAATTTTTAATTTTCTCATTTTTATTTAATGTGAAATTGTAATTTATCTTTTGAATTTTTAATAAAATACAAGATTCAATATTAATCAAGTGACAAAAAAAAAATTACTTAATGATATAGCTTTAAATAGAATTGACATGGAAACTTAGATATTAAAATTAAATAAAATAAAATACTGAAAATTAATGTAAGGATGATTGCCATAAACATTAGGAAACTAGGACATTCTTAATAAGATTACAAATTGCACGAAAGAACCCAATAAAGAAATTCTTATTGCTATCTTAACAAAATTATCATTTCCATTATGAATTTCAAAATGTATAAATACAAATTTAATGTTAGGTCTTACCTTGTCTCTAAGTAAATAAACAAGAAAAATATGTTGGAAGTCTCACATCAACTAGAGATAAGGCCAAATTATAATATATATATATATATATATATATATATATATAAAAGTAGGGTGCAAACCTCACCTTACAAGCCAGTTTTGTGGGGTTGGAGTTGGGTTAGGCTTAAAAACTACTTTTTATTATGGTATCAGAGTCAGGTTTAAAGTCTATCCTAACGAGATCTATGTGGACATTCTATTCCACTCTCTATTGGGTCATTATCGAACTATCCATTAATTTCTATTCTCACACTCAAGATGTCTATATTTCGGCGTGAAGGGGTGTGTTGGAAGTCTCACATCGACTAGAGATAAGGCCAAATTATAATATATAAGTGGGGTGCAAACCTCACCTTACAAGCCAGTTTTGTGAGATTGAGTTAGACTTAAAAACCACTTTATAATAAAATACAATTCTTATATTCCATAAGATAAATCTTTATCTTCTAGAACGAGTCCCACTCAACAAATTTGTATTATATTTGAATATATATATATATATATATATATATATATATATATAATATAGATATAGATAAATTTTTTTTAGATGTTTTCAAATTTAATTTAAAAAATTATAAAATTACTAATAGAATAAACAATATAAAAGTTACAACAAGTGAAACCAGTAATAAAATAAAATAAAAATCATAAGAGCTTAAGGTTACTTTTTAATAAAATGTAAATATTATGTGATACACATTTTTATCAAATAAAAACTCATATATAACTACTTCAAAATTTGAATTATTTCCAACTATTTAACCTTAACTTTATATAATTCGTGAATATGATATTTTCCATCGTAGACCACAACACACCGCATATACATATTTCATTTCTAATAATTTTAAGAAACAATTAACATAACAACACTGTCGAAGAGACCATGAACGGTTGCTTGATATATGCCAACGCATGTGTAACTTTATTACAAGATTGGTTGAACCAATGACTTTTCCAAAGGGTATAACTTTTCCCCCTTTTCTTTCTTCTTACTCTATTTGTTCATCTTTTGAACCATTTACAAGGCTTTACCTTCTTTTCAGCAATTCTTCAGAAATTTGGTCCACACAAAATTAAAAAGGTTGGAGAAGGAAATAGCAAAGTCTGTATACGTTGTACACTAAGTTAACTTCTTATTAGAACACTTTTCAATTAAGTACGAAGTGAAGACTCTATGGAAAATTGTTTTAGTAGAACAATATAAATATTTAAGTTCAGTAATTTCCCTTCATAAATTAATAATATTGTTCATCGTTAATGGAAACAATGATTTTTTTTTCGGAAAAAAATTATATTTAGATAATTTTTATGTATTAAATGATCAACTTCAATTTTTTTAATAAAAAATCAATGAAAATTTGAGTAAAATTACTTGATTTTTTTAGAAAAAAAACATCCATTGAATCTGTTTCCCATTGATAATATTGTCTTTAAGTGATTAGGTTGGGCCAAGCTAGTTAGTATGGTATGATATGGGTGATATTAGAGAAGTCACTGACAAGGAGTAATTAGGAAATTAATTATAATTATGCGTGTTTATTGGGTAATATCTTTTGAATTTGAGCAACAAAAGAATTCCAATGTGGCAACTCACTAGTACGCTTTTATTAACTCCAATTGCTTCATTCAACCTAATATTGTTATTTGAGTAATATCTGCACGTGGGACCGCATAATTCTCACAATTACAATTATGAATAATTATTCAGTGTCATAAAGTTTAATAATGATGCCCATTTTTTTTCCTTTATTTTACTTATATCTACATTTGATTTTCACGTTTATAAATAAGATGATGTTAAAAGACCATAATGAATTTAAGATGATGTTAAAAGACCATAATGAAATTTGACATTTATTTCAATTATACTGACAATAAAAAAAATTCGTACTATTTATCATCACATAAAAAATCTACTAAAAAACATTATTTTCATATCATATTCCACTCGCCACCTTCATATATTGAAATAGACTTTTGAGTTTCCCTTAAACATGTAGTTTGTAACTCCATTTCTGACTTTGAAAACTTATCTCCTTATTTTAGTGCTTGAGTGACCTGCAGTCAGAATTCTCTCATTCTTTTTTGTTTTTTATTTATCAATATTATTGGTTGGATTTTCTTCACTTATTTCGATTTAAACTTAAAATCATTTACTTTAATTATTTTTGTTAGTGTCGGTGATGACTCAGTTTGTAAATCCTTTGTTCCTATAATTCAATAGACATTTTGGTTTTCAACTTTATAATTACAAAACTTACTAGTAGTTACGTGGTAAAGAAATAGTACGACAAATAAAATATCATGTTTGAAAGATGGTACAATAATGTAAATAGAATGAAGTGTTTTAAGTTTATACAGGGATCGTACAGATTATTATTAGAAAGTGGGTTTTTAAGCCTAACTTAACCTTGTAAGGTGAAGTTTGCACCCACTTATAAAGTATGAATTTGTCTTATCTCTAATCGATTTGGAGTTAAAAACTCACTTTCTAATATGGTATCAGAATTATGGTTAGAGCTTATTCTAGCGATATTTCTTGTTTCTTAGGCATTTTTATTCCATCCGCTATCGGACCGTTATCGGACCACTCAATTTATACTATCACGCACGAGATGTCTATACCTCAACGTGAAGGGCGTGTGTTGGAAGTTTCACATTGACTAGAGATAAGACCAAATTATAATTGTTAATCAAACTCTTTTTTATAGATAGAACTATTTTAGGATTTGAAATTGTATAAGGGAAGATAAATATTAGGAATATATTTTAATATAATGTAAGTTAATCATTTAGAAATTGTTAATTTTCTTAAAATATTGAGTTTAGGTTTTGAGATTTAATTTGGGTAGTTGATAAATTTATCTTTTTCTAAATAGGTGAGTGGTGATAAATTTATATTAAAAAAATTATGATAAAGAGTAAAACAATTGATTCTTTTTTTCATGAGGAAAGTTTGTGATAAAGATGAAAAAAATGCATCTTCGTCAACTAAACTTGAGAAATTTAATGAGAAACCAAGAATTGAAGAAAATGAGAAACAACTTTCTAAAGTTTCCAGAGTTACATATAATGAGTTTGAAAATTCTTTAAAACGTGATTCGGGGAAGTGTCATCAGATTTGGAAATACCCACCAAATCTCTAACATTTAAGGTATCACCCCATAATCTCTTGATAATTCCTAATTGATATATATATATATATATATATATTAAACTCAGATTTCAACTACAAACTCATAAATATAACTCGAATTCTTCTAATTTATTTTTCTATCTATTTCTTCATTGGCACTGAATCAGACGACATTCCTTCATCTGCTCCCGTATAACGAATTATACGATCATCGCACATACACAAACATAAACAAGTAGGGTGAGCTAATATGCAACAAATCATTTATAAAACATGCATAATTACTTTGATACACTCAACATATATCATATAATAATTATGTCAGACACCCTCATACCATCATACAACAATCGCACCATAGATACTCATCCCATCATACCACAATTCCTAATAGACACTCATCCCACAATACCCCATAAACACTCATCCCACAATACTCAATAGACACTCATTCCACAATACCCAATAGACATTCATCCCACAATACCCAATAGACACTCATTCAGATGATAAGTTGATGAGCGGTCACGAGAGGTTATGCACTTGTGATGACTTCTACTTCTTCTTACAAATACACTTCCAAAATACTCCATATCATCCACAAGGTTAGTCCTCAACACTATGTCCAACACCGGCACATAGACCAGGACCTCCTGCCCCTCTCACCACATAATTCATCCTTCTCTACTTGAGACTGGATGATTATTAGAGTATCAGGATAACCTCCAAAAACAGGACCTTCAATATCAACATATAC